CCTTTATAGATTCAGGAATGGTTTACAGTTTAAGAACAAGAGAATGTATTCCTAAACAACTAGACGAAAAGCTCAAGATATTGCTGTTGTTCTTAGAATAATTCTGCCTTTACTTTGTAGAGCCTTTGCAAGAGTTCTTGAAAAGTTTTTATCAAGTTGCAAAAACTAGAGAGAAGTGTTTAGGAAAGTGCCTTTTATATGGGCAAGTTACTTTCCTAAACTTCTTTGCCATTGGCTGGAAGGGTCACACTTTCTGACGCCATCGGAAAGTGTGCACCTACTTTCTGCACCATCTCCAGCTGGCAGTTGACTGACTCGTCATCATGAGAGCCTGGTACCTCTGTTAGGTCCCTGAGTTTTGTTTTATCTGCAATACTTCGAACAATACACCTGCAATACTCAAGTAGAAAACCTGGTACCTTTATGAGGTCCCTAAGTTTGTCAAATCATCAAAACTACAAATAACAATAGGCACATTAAGATTTTTTAGGTAGAAGAATGGTAAAATTAATTTATCCATTTCAAATAGACCAAAGACATTTTTGGCCCAATAGATTGATAGAAGGAAAAAATTGATTCAATTTTTTTAATTCGTTGCGGTCATGTTTTTACCCTTTCCCTAGGAACAACCGCAAGAAAGAAGAGAAAAGCAAAAAAAATAGAGTAATGAGGTAAGTGTAAAATATTATGAGTTCTCTAACTTAAATTGCAATACAAATTTATGTTAATTAATTTTTTAGCATTATATGAAATGAATTATCAGAAATTAAACGCTTAGAAATTTTTTTGTAGCAATATATAATTTGATAATTATTTTTAGCAATATATAATTTGAAAATTATTTTTAGCAATATATAATTTGATAATTATTTTTCGCAATATATAATTTGAAAGTTATTTGTAGCAATACATAAGTTGACTTGTCCTTATTTTATTATTATAAGAGGAAGTATTCAATAGAAATTGAGAACATGTAATTTTGGGATTAATTATCTCGATAAAAATAATTTTGAAAAAGTTATTCCACCATATATATAAGATAATTTAATCCATCATGGTATAAATTGTGAGATAAATAATTCAATGACTATATATTTACCCCAATCAAATGCACGGTGAAATATTCATACATTTTATTTCTTTAAGTATTATATCTTCTACCTAACATTAAACGAACTTCTACAAAGAAAAGGTCCAAATAGTCTTTTATTTTTGGGTAAAGAATCAAAGTCATTCTTTAGTTTTCACATGGAGCATTAATTGTCCCTTATTTTTGGTATATTGATGCACTTTTGGTCCTTCTTTAAAATTTTGCCTAATTTTTAACATTGATTTTGTTCTTAACTTATGTATGAAATGTTTAATCATCATTTTATATATTTAGTAGAAATAATAACTCAATGAGAGAGATTGTGAGAAGAAACACACTTTATTTTGTTTAGTGAAATCATATTGCAGGTAAAGTCGAAAAGTTCATCACGACGATTTCACGTACAATAGTACAATTTTTTTTCTTGCAATGTCATATGTTAAATTGTTCTTAGTTTAGCTGCAGCAATATTTATACTGAACAGACAAAGTATTTTACTTCTCACCTTCTCTCGCATAGTATTATTTCTACTAAATATATAAAAAGACAATAGAACATTTTTTACATAAGATTATGAATAAAATTTATGTTAAAAAATAGACAAAGTTTAGGTGAGGACAAAAAGTGCACCAATATCGCAAACATAAGAGACTATTAGTGTTCCATGTAGATATTCAAAGATGATTTTGAGTCTTAATCCAAAGATTGAAAGAATTATTTTGGGCCTTCTCTCGCTTCTATACTTGTCTTGAATTTTACATTTGAGGGTAAGTAGTTCAAGGCGAAATTTCTATTATTTTAGAGGAACCTTTGGAAAAACAAAAGTTATTTAAAAACTATTTAAATTGTTGTTAGATATATTTATGCTAGTTATTTAACTAGCATAAATATATTTTAAACTATTTAAAGTGTTTTTAGTTTTTTTTCTTAGAAAAAAGTAAAAATGTTTTTTTTGAGGTTACCTAATTCTAGTGGAGTTAAATATGTTGTGACTTTGTTGCACTACTAGCACATGATCAACGTACTTGTGAATCTATTATTTTTTCATGCACGTCACTTTTTAAATAAGTTGAGAAATGTAATGATCCGTCGTAGTTTTGGCAATACTAATAAAGTAATAGATATTTTAGCTAAATAAGTTTTCAAACTACCAAGAAATAAAACGTTCCACGTTATATATAACCCTTTAGACTACATCAAACTGATACTAAAAACGATAAAAAAATAAAAAAATAAATTATCATCCAATTTAACCTAGTTACTTATAATTAATTAGCCGATTAACTATGATAGAAAAACATTACTACCTAATATGTTTGTACTTCCTAAGAAAAAATATATAATATTAACCTCTTTTAAACCCCCAAAAAAGTAGCATGTTGAAAAATGGGTAAATTTAAATACCAGTTGGGGCATCCATGGTTTTCTTCCCTTACCCAGCTAAAGTAAGCTGTTGTGATAGTTAACTTAACCACATAGACTATGTGTTTGATGGTTACCCAATTTCATTGAAAATTGTGGTTTTCTACTTCTCTTGATAGGTAGGTCTTTGGGTTAATATAAAATGAATATTTTCCACCATTAAATTAATAAAATAAATGCAAGAAACATTGAACATAGCATCATGTCAAGATCATTTATAGATTTGGTTCATTGCATCTGAATTGGATACTTTTTCTTCTCTCTTTCCTAATAAAATAATAAATAAAAAATAGAAAATGTTAACCCCACTTTACACAAACAAAAATATAGATAGATAGATGACAGCACCACCCACACACAAACCTCATTTGTTTTGTACCTCTTCCTCCTTCCACCTCTTTTTTCTCTCTCTTTTTGCCCTATTCAATAGGGTTCTCAAATGATCTCTTGCTACCTGTTTTTCTGATGCAATCAGTTGTTCAAGCTCTTTTAATTGTGTTTCTTTTGGTTGATCTGTCAATTTTTGCTCTCCATAGAGGGTTTTTTGGTCCTGGACACTGCAGATTCTACTTCCCCAGTCTTTTTCAACCATACTCATGTCTAAAGTCTTCAATTTTAGTGGTATGATCTTAATCCTTATCTGGATTTGCTTAAAAATTCAATCTTTTTTTTTTGAAACTTGTGTTTTAGATTTTAAGTTTTCTGTTAGAGTTCATCTGTTAAACTTTCTGTTTGTAACTAGTGGAGTTTCTACATCTGGATCCTTGATTTTAGCCTAAGTGTTTTTTTTTACTTTGATCTATCTAGATATGATACAATTGAATCTCTTTTTTTCCCCCTTAACTAGTGCAAAATTCCATATGTTTTGTTAATGATATGCTAATCTTGGGAAAAAAATGGTAGATAGAAAATTCATTGATGGATATTTATGTCGAAAATCAATTAATTTTTTTCCATGTTTGATGAAATATTTTCTTCATAGAACTCTTCAAAACTGATTAACCTGGTATCTTGTATTTCTGTGATATTTGCTCTAAATCTGAATCTTATCAGACTTGTATGTGAAGTGGGTTTGGCCATTCTCGAGATTTATTTGGATCTCAATTTTGATCTTTGGTTGATGTTCTTTACCATCTTCTGGATTTCAGGTGACCATGGTGGGACTGTGTACCCAAGTCCCAAGGAATCCAGCCTATTTCTGTCCCTTAGGAATCATGTGGATGTCTATTTTCCTCCTTGCAAGAGGTCTCGTGTTGCGGTCCCTTTTGTTTTCAGTGAAAAGAAGCACAAGTTGTCTTCCATTGATGTCCTACCTGATGAATGCCTTTTTGAGGTATTGAGGCGCCTTTCTGATGGCAAAGACAGGAGTGCCTCTGCTTGTGTTTCCAAGCGCTGGCTTATGCTCTTAAGCAGCATCCGCGGGGATGAAACAGTAATCTCAAATCCCAATCCATCTTTGGAAACCGAGGAAAGATCTATCCAAACTGCTCTTGTTAAGTCTGTGGACTGCGTTAAGAAGGGTGAGGTAGTGGACTCTAATGCTGCAGAAGTTGCTGAGGCTGAATCTCAAGATATTGAAGGAGAGGGTCATCTTTCCAGGTGCCTTGATGGAAAGAAAGCAACAGATGTCCGACTTGCTGCTATTGCTGTTGGAACACCAGGCCATGGAGGGTTAGGAAAGCTTTCTATTCGAGGAAGTAACCCAATCCGTGGTGTGACTGATACAGGCCTCAAGGTTATTGCTCGAGGTTGTCCTTCTCTAAGGGCTCTTTCTCTCTGGAATGTCTCTTCTGTTAGTGATGAAGGTTTAACCGAGATTGCTCAAGGATGTCATCTGTTGGAGAAGCTTGATCTTTGCCAATGCCCTGCAATTACTGATATGTCCTTGATGGCTATCGCAAAGAATTGTCCTAATTTGACCTCTCTAACGATAGAATCTTGTTCAAAGATTGGAAATGAAACTCTTCAAGCTGTAGGTCGTTTTTGCCCTAAGTTGAAGTTTGTGTCTCTCAAAAACTGCCCACTCATCGGAGATCAAGGAATTGCAAGTCTCTTTTCATCCGCTGGTCATGTTTTGACAAAGGTGAAACTTCACGCATTGAACATCAGTGACATCGCCCTTGCTGTTATTGGACATTATGGCATTGCCATCACTGACATAGCCCTTATTGGTCTTCAAAACATAAATGAGAGAGGATTTTGGGTCATGGGTAATGGCCAAGGTTTGCAGAAGCTGAGGTCGCTTGCTATAACTGCTTGCCATGGAGTTACTGATTTGGGACTTGAAGCTCTTGGTAAAGGTTGTCCAAACTTGAAGCTGTTTTGCCTACGAAAATGTACAATCCTGTCAGATAATGGCTTGGTTGCTTTTGCCAAAGGTTCAGTTGCACTCGAGAACCTCCAATTAGAAGAATGCCACAGGATCACCCAGGCTGGGTTTGTTGGTGTTCTTTTGAGCTGTGGTGAGAAGTTAAAGGTTCTGTCCATGGTGAAATGCTTTGGTGTTAAAGAGTTGGCCTGTCGATTTCCATCTGTGTTGCCTTGCAACTCACTTCAGTCTTTGTCTATCCGCAACTGTCCTGGAGTTGGTAATGCTACTTTGGCCATAATGGGTAGGCTGTGCCCCAAACTGACTCATTTGGAGCTGAGTGGACTCCTTCAAGTAACTGATGAGGGTCTTTTCCCTCTTGTTCAGAGCTGTGAAGCTGGTTTGGTCAAGGTGAATCTAAGTGGATGTGTTAATGTTACAGACAGATCAGTTTCATTCATAACTGAGTTGCATGGGGGAAGTCTCGAGTCTCTTAATGTTGACGAGTGTCGATACGTTACTGATATGACCTTGTTAGCAATTTCCAACAACTGTTGGTTGCTCAAGGAACTTGATGTTTCAAAGTGTGGTATAACTGATTCAGGTGTTGCATCTTTGGCCAGTACAGTGCGACTTAATTTGCAGATACTCTCCTTGTCAGGTTGCTCTATGCTTTCGGACAAAAGTGTACCCTTTCTGCAGAAGTTGGGGCAGACACTCATGGGCTTAAACATCCAGCACTGCAATGGGGTCAGTAGCAGCTGTGTTGATCTCCTCTTGGAACAGCTCTGGAGGTGTGATATCCTTTCTTAAGTGCAGGGTCAATGCAACTTACAAGTTGAGCTCCTTTGAAAGATGGAGCTTAGTAAGGAAGTTTAACTAGTCTTTCTTTGTTAGTGTTAGCATAAAGTTTTTTGGTCCATGATCTTGGGTCTTCTAATAGTCCAGTATCTCGGCTCCTTTTTCCGGGGATGTGGTTGGTTCTCTTTTTTTGCAGCTTCTTCACTGAAGCTGTTTTTGGGAAATTTTTTTCCTGTTTTTCCAACCATACTTCCCTGAGATACAAATGCTGAGTTTTTGGATTAAGAGATTCATGTCTGGTCCTAGTCCTAGTCCTTGTTGTCACTAGTTTTTAGCTTCTATGCTTGCATTGATTGCCAAATCTTGCAGCGGTAGAAGCTTTTTCAATATTGTCTTAAGTCTTTTATGTGTGTGCACTTGTAGTTTTACCGAGTCTCTCACGTTGTTGAACCTTTCAACTCGTGATGGTTGGGTTTATGTTTGTGTTGTTGTTGTGGTGGTGGTTGCTTTTGGGCAGTTGTAGGTATATATGCCTCTCTTTTCATGGGCTTTGGCCATGGCAGGAAGTTCCTTTTCTGCCATGACAACCCTCTGGGGTTGTTTTTTCTTTTTACAAAGCCTTAGTTTTGCAGGCCTCTCTTGTTCTTGAAACTCCCAAATGTAACCTTGTTTTGTACTTGTGGAAATGTTAGTTTTGTTTATTAAATAAAAAAAAAAACAAAAAAGTTAGGTTGTATATCTCTGTGTTTGATCTCTAGAAATTCATTGTGTTCAAATACAATGGATGTATATATGATAGTAAGATGGGATTATACCGACCTTTGGCACCTCTTGGGGTCAATTGAAATGTGTGTATTTTTGTCCTTTTCTCCAACACGAGAGACGTTAGCAGCCTGCCTCTCTTTTACGCCTACTTTGTATGGTTACCTCTTGTTAACGAGGAAGCTTCATTAATGTTGCCCAACTAGTATTTTCGAAATTAACCACGTGATTGACACCCAAAATACACCGTTTTACCTAATTGACATGGTCTTCTTTTATCTCTTTCTTCTCCGAGCTCAAGGATCCGTGAAGTAGGTATGCTGGTTTATTACGGGGAGTTTTCATAACAATTTATTATGTCTTTGCATACCTTATATCCTTGGCAAGGGGTTCAAACTGAAATGATTATCTTTTATTAACGATTGCTTTTTAGGGTAAAAAATGCGACTTTGGAGATAATGTTGCAAAAATAAAAATAAAAATTATAGCTATATGAAGGTAGTTGGGTGTAGAATATAATATGGAAAAGACAACTGTGTGGAGAAACAAGACTCTGTCGAACAGGAAAAGGCACACAAAGGAATACAATTTTGTTTAAATAATTTGGTAGAAGATATTGGGATGGTTGTTACATATGGTGTAGGAGCATATTTCTTCAAGTTACTTTTTAAACTTGTGTCTATTAAATTAAAAGGGCAAAATTTACTTAATTTAAATACCAGTTTTAACTCCGTAAAACAAAATAAGTTAGTTTTGAACATGATTGATTATTTCCATTACCATTATCGTTACGTATCATTTGAAGTATAAATCCTCAAGTCTATATTTGAATTCGTGCCTTTTAAAATATTAAAGGCCCAAGTTAATTAAATTGAATACTAGGTTTAATGATGATTGTTACAGGGAATAAGCAATCTCTAATAATTCTAAATAAAGTGCATCTATTTTATGTTTTGAGGATTATTTTCTATTCAATAAGCATAATTATATTTTTTACTGGTATCTTACTATATTAATAAAATCGTAATGGTTCAAAAAAGTGTAGGGATAATAATTTTCATTTAGTAGTTATTTTAGACTCTGAATTCCATGATACACGTTGCAACGAGTTTTTCTCGCATAAGGTGGGAAAATACAATCCAATTATTTCACAGTAGAGGTAAAAAAAAGTATTTTTTTAATTGCTTATAAACTTATGATTTTATTATGAATTGTATCATTTCATCAATCTTAGATTCTAGATGGTAACAATTTAAACTTTCCACACGTGATAAGATTGGTTTAAGAAGAGGATCTTGTAGGATATGGTTTGATAATTTGACTAATCGTGGTGCTTTATTTTCCCTTCTTACAGAAGTGTAGGGTTGTTATATTTTGACTAATAATATCAATAATTTTTTATTTTTATTTTTTCAAAAAAAGATGTTTGGAATTTTGGATGAATATAATGCAGGACCATTTGCCTAATAATACTGTAGAGTATGTCAAGCAATCTGATTAAATGAATAAATCATTGTGTATTAAATCTAGCACACACAAGTTCACAGTTAAATCAGATGTAGAGTTGATTATATATTTAGAAGACTACATGAAGATGTGAATACAAAGGTCCTTTGGAAATTTTATTTTTTGATTGAAAGGTCCGGAAGTATAAAGTTGTTATTATCATTAAATAATTTCTCATTGTTCTTGTTAGGAAAGTTATTAATCACCTTTCCTATCTAGGGAAGTGGTTGCTTTTATTTGAGATTATTATTGTGCTATTGATAGCTGAGATCTTAAGCCCATGGATTCCACTATGAAAAAATTGGTGGAATGCACATGTTGAGAGTGTTTTTTTAAAAATTATGCTTAATTTATCGGTGACTCCTTAAAGTTGGCATTAAATTTTACTTAGATGTTTTAATTAGACTTTGTTCATTTTAGATTCTTGACGTAAGTTGTGACATTTTTTACAAACACGTTATAGAGATTGTGATCCACTCGTTTATTGCGCATGAAAAACTTTTTTAATAAGCTTTTTTTTTCTTCTCCCCTTTTTAGCCTCCAATTTTCAAGGTCAAACCCCATCCATGACAAATGTTTTAAAATTTTAAGAAATGACCTATTTCAAGATTTAAATGTCGCTATAGTCATGAAATTCTTTTTTTTTGGAGGAATTTCTACCATTGTAATACAAAGGTGGATCTGGTTTTTTCCTAGTTTGTCACGACCCAAACCGGGTTGCGACTGGCACCCACACTTACCCTCCTAAGTGAGCGAACCAACCAATCTAAACCTTAACATTTC